TTGCCATACTGGAAAGTGCAGCTCTGGGACTTCTCAGTTTTATAGCAATGTACCCTCTGGGTTCATTTTCTTTTAATTATTGTTTTAGCTAAAACTGCTGGCTTTTGTTAAATAACAATGGTGATAGCAAGTTTCCAGCCAGGTTCCTGACTTTGCTTGCACACTGTGTTTAACCATCTCTAATAATACTTTCTAATTTAAATAAACGGTCTTTGTCCTATTAAAGTGTCCTATATTATTTTCTTATTTGGAGTTTTTGACCATCAGAATGGTTGCTAACTTCTGTCGGGTAACCTTTCAGAGTCTATTTGATATGCACAGGCTTTTCCTCCTTTCAGAGGGACTCGACTTTTTCGTCATCATCTTAAATACCAAGGGCTGCTACGAGTGCATGACAAGAGTAAGCTCCCCGTGCAGGCCTGACTGACTGCCTCCCCTGGCCGCTGTGTCTTAGACAATCCACACTGCTCATCATTGTTCAGACTAGTCTCTGCTCCCAAATGTAATGTCTTCGTTCATACTGTTGTTTTATTGGGAATGGCCCCGCCTGTCACACTTCCGTCCCTCCTCCAATCTGTCCTCCAGTGGTCACGTCGCAATTGTCGGTTTGCATTATTATGATCACAGCTGACCACGTAACAGTCAATATTTCCTTTCTTGTCTAACTTTATGCTTTTCCTGGAACAATAAGTGCCTGGCTTTTCTATTCCTTCATTTTCTATATATCTATTGGTAATTAGGCATCAAACTTTGTACCAGAACAACAAAATACTCTCAAGACAATTGGATAACGTGAGGTTATCATAAAGTGCCATTTCTTCCTTAGAGCCCTCTCCTCCTGGGCCCCCCACCCTCCTGCCCCAGTTGGCCTGGCTGGTCTGGGGCCTCCCGTGGTCCTGTTCCAGTTAGGTGGCAAAAGTCAGCCTCCACAAACAACTGATGGGGGAAGGAAGGATGGAAGTCTCAATGCTCAGAAGTCACACTTGACGTGATCCTCTCGAATTCAGTCACCCCGCGCCCGGCGTCTTGCGTCTGGGGCCCCTCCAAGGCGCAAACACCGCCTTCCTCTTGTTTCTCGCCCTGCTGTGGGTGCTGCCTCATTACTTAGCACATGTATGCTTTTGATCTTCAAAGTTTATTGACATCTCTGGGTGCAGCCCTTTCACACTTGTGGGTGTCATTGCTGTGAGATTGGGAAGCAGGAGAGAGAAGCCATGGACGCGTCACTGGCGGTCTCCAGCCCTCAGACTCCCCACAGGTGTGGATGCCTCATCACCAGCCTGCCATCCTCCTGCGCCCCGGCCCCAGGGCCGGGCAGATGACTCTCCCCGCTCACTGTAGGTGGGAAGGCCACCACAGCCTCTGAGTCCTGCACTGCCCGCTACACGTGGGTCCAGTAAATGCACAAATAAAGGGACGGCTTGCCAGCGATTGAAGGGATTGACCCATGAGACTCTAGGTACTTAACTCAAATCTTACTATAATGGGAAAAGTGACTGAAATGAACCCGTGGATTTAATATGTCTCCATTAAGATTTCATTATTTAAGCAGAAATTTGTCATTTCTGTGGTGAGGACGGTTGAACCTTCACAATGACCAACGGCCAGTGGTCTGACCAATGGTCAGAACACACTGCTTTCCTGACGGTGGAGAGGCTCGGCCACTGCTGTGTTTCCCTGGAGACCTGGACACCTCACTTTCCCCCTCGTTGGAGCTCTGTTGGGAACCCTGGCCCTGACCTGCCTCATCCAAGGCTCAGCAAGCTCCTGCTCTCCTGTGCCGGCGTCCGGAGGTGTCATGTGTGGTGTCACTGCAGGGCCACTCCCTGCCCTGGTCTGTTCAGCCCAGGCACAACGTGGAGTAGCTAGTGACTCATTTGTACTTGATGACTTATTCTGAATATTTCTTTAAGAACAATGTTTTCCTCACATGTGTAAGGACATTAATATAGTATGAATGTATTACTCATTTAATCATTGGTATCTAATTAAATTTTTAGAATAAATATATTTTCATTTTTATTTTATTTTTTAAAATTAAAAAAAAATTTTTT